GAAAACTCCATATTTTAATAAGTCTGTGTTAAAGACTAGTTTAGCTAAGATTAAGTCTTTTCAAACAGCAAATCACCACAACTACAGCATTACTTGAGCACTGAAATCTGCAAAATTTCAAAAAATTTCAACAGACACAAACCACTGAATAAAACAAAAACTGTATTAACTAAAGTTACATATTATTTATCTGACAAGTTTAGCCATCTTGAACAGGACTGGGAAGTGGTAACAAATAAAAAGGTAAGTGCTCAAACTATTTCTGACACTGAATTTTGAATGGATGTACGAGACTATTTTAACCTCTTTCATTCTATAGCCAGTTTATGTTATAGTTCCATTAAGTTTAGCAATATGGTATTTTTACCCATAAGAAGATTGTATGCAAGAGGGAAGCCCCTCATAACAGCACTAAATTGAGAGCTAATAGCATAAAAGTATGGGAGTGAAAACAAAATAAAATATATGTTGTAAGAATAGAAATAAAACTAATAAGCACAAGAGCCAGGGCCCATTTAATACTGGTCATAAATAACCCTAACATTTTTATTTTTATTTATATGTTTAAATATATTTTTATTAATTTTGCTATTACAGTTGTCCCATTTTTTCTCCCCTTGTATCCCCCTTCCCACCAGCATTCCCCCACCTTAGTTCATATCCATGGGTCACACATATAAGTTCTTTGGCTTCCCCATTTACTACACTATTCTTAACTATTTTGTGTCTACTATTTATGCTTGTAATTCCTTTTACCCTTTCCCCCATCCTCCCCACTTCCTCTCTCCCCACTGATAACCCTCCATGTGATCTCCATTTCTGTGATTCTGTTCCTGTTCTAGTTGTTTGCTTAGTTTGTTTTTATTTTTAGGTTCAGTGTTGGTAGTTGTTTGTTGTCATTTCACTGTTTATAGTTTTGATCTTCTTTTTCTTAAGTAAGTCCTTTTAACATTTCATATAATAAGGGCCTGGTAATGATGAACTCCTTTAATTTGACCTTATCTGGGAAGCACTTTATCTGCCCCTCCATTCTAAATGAAAGCTTTGCTGGATGGAGTAATATTGGATGTAGGTCCTTGCCTTTCATGACTTCAAATACTTCTTTCCAGCCTAACCTTGCCTGAAATGTTTCTTTTTAAGAAATCAGCTGATAGCCTTATGGGAACTCCTTTATAGGTAATGTTCTCCTTTTCTTTCACTGCTTTTAAGATCCTCTCCTTATCTTTAATCTCAGGTAATTTACTTATGACGTTATCTTGGTGTGTGCTTCCTTGGGTCCAACTTGTTTGGGACTCTCTGGGCTTCTGAAAGTCTATTTTCTTCACTGGACTGAGGAAGTTTTTCTTCATTATTTTTTCAAATAAGTTTTCAATTTCTTGCTCTTCCTCTTCTCTTTCTGGCACCCCTATTATTTGAATGTTGGAACATTTAAAGTCATCCCAGAGGTTCCTAAGCCTCTCCTAATTTTTCGGAATTCTTCTATTCTGGCTGAATGTTATATTTCTTCCTTCTGCTTCAAATCACTGATTTGAGTCCCGGTTTCCTTCCCTTCACTGTTGGTTCCCTGTATATTTTCCCGTATTTCACTTTGCATGGCCTTTACTTCTTCTATCTCGCATCCCTATTTAATCATTTCTGTGAGCATCCTGATTACCAGTGTTTTAAACTCTGTATCTGATAGACTGGCTATTTCCTGGTCACTTAGTTCTTTTTCTGGAGTTTTGTTCTGTTCTTTCATTTGGGCCAAATTTCATTGGCTCAGTGCACCTGTTATTGTTTTAAGGAGCAAAGCAACCCACATTGCTGCATCGTGGTGCTGTATGCAGGGGAGGCATCAGAAGGAACAAAAGGCCACTTGCTCAACTCTCAACCCACTTTCAGTCACTTGCCCTGCTCCCCACAAGCAAAATGGGCCCTTCTGGTGTTGATTCCTGGGACAGTCTCCAACAAACTCTCCTGTGGATTGAAGTTTCTTCCACTTCCACAACCCCCACAGAGTTTTGCAGCCAGAGGTTTTGAGGCTTTAGTTTCTCACACTGGAACCCTGCGTTACATGGTCTCTCGCTCCCCAGTTGTTCCTCCTGACTTATTTGCTTGCGAATGTGGGACCAACCAGTCTGCCAACTGCTGTCCCTCTTGCCCTATCCACCATCTTCCCGCATGTCCTCTCCACCGTGGTTGCCAATCTCTGGCCCTCCTACCAGTCTAGATTGTTTCTTTTTTATCTCCTTGGTTGTTAGACTTCTATACAGTTCAACTTTCTAGCAGTTCTGGTGGGTTTTTGTTTTTAAATTTGTTGTTGTCCTCCTTTGGTTGAGTGAGGAAGCAAAGCGTTATCAACCTTTGCCTCCATCTTGGCCACAAGTCCAATCCTAACATTTTTAAACAGGATATTACTATACATTATGCCTAATATCACTAAGTATTATATCCTACTACAGTCTTGATTTTTTACTAGCCTTGTGACCCTGGACACACAAGTGAAAGTCCTTTACAATAAAACAAAACAAAAATTTAAAAAGGACCAACTCAACCATTCCAAATAATAAAAAGGGGTTTAACAAAAAAGAACAGGGTACAAGGATGGCAAAAGATTTAAGTCAGAAGTTTAAAGCCTTGGAAAAGCTGGCTTGTTAATACTTTAGGAACTGTTACTTCTACAGAAGAAACTTATGACATGCAGTGTGTACTAATACATAAGATCTTCATTTTCCACATTTTAATTCTCTGCCTAGTTTTGTGTAGTAGTATTATCAATAATATGACAGATTTGATCTGATAAAACTTGTTGGCTTCATAGGTCTGAAGAACAAGAGCTTTTATTACAACAATGAAGTTTCCAATTTTCTATTTTATAAATGTGATTCAGTGAGGTAATTCTTGACAAAAAATTTTTAATGCCTTTCAACAGAAATACCCAGAAACAGAGTAAGTCTAAAACAATTTTCTTAAGTTCCATCAGAGTCATGTCCATTCAAACATGCAAACTACACTCAGCCCCATGCCAATATGCCCAAAAGTTTCAATCATTCAGCATCAACTCAAGTCCAAAATGTCATCACCTAAGTTATCTAAATCAGTATGGGTAAGACTCTGGGGATGATACAACATGGCACAAAATGCCTTTCCACCTATGAAGCTAGGAAACAAAAGTTATTATTCCTAAACTATGATGGTGGGACAGGCAAGGGATAAAAGTTACAGACTTCCCCATTCCAAAAAGAAGAAAATGGTAGGAAGACAGGAGTTACTGGTGCCAAACAGTATCAAAATCCAGCAGATCCATTCCATTAGATTTCAAAGCCTGGGAATACTGTGGCCTGTGGCTCTACATCCTGGGCCTGAAGCTCTACCTTCATTATCATCCTTTTTATTGAAGGGTGTTCGTGGCTGAGTCCTGTTATCCACCTGTTCCCTGCCTACAGAATTTTGAAAGTTCATCAGCCTTCCCTCATCTCATCAGCACAAACTGGCAGTGTTTCTGCTGACATAATATTCTCAAACCCTTGTGAGTCACCCGTGCATGTCACGAAGGTTCTCACCATATAAGATGGTCCTCCACAGATCTTCCCTGATCTCTGTTCAATCTTTATTCCTGACTTTTGCTGAGACTACTGAGGAGATCCATGAGTCACATGCCTAATCTCTTCACAAGAGCAAAAGGTTATCTAGCCACACTCTTGGCTTTCTCTCCAGAGCACACTTTCCTGACAATGAAGTCTTCTGCAAACTGGATAGGCTGAGAATTTCCCAAATCCAGTCCTGGATCTTGTTTTGCTCTAACAAGTCACCAGAAACTTAGAGGCTTAAAACAACAGAATCTCATTCTCTTACTGTCTAGCAGAAAAGTCTAAGATTAAGTATCACTGAGCTTAAATCAACATGTCAACAGGTTGACCACACTCCCTCCAGGTTCTAGAGGAGAAACTGCTCCTTGCCTCTTCCAATTTTTGGTGGCTACCAGCATTCTTTGGCTTGTGGCCACATCACTCTGCCTCAGTAGTCAACACTGCCTTTTGGGGGGCCACAATTCAGCCTGCCACAGATGTAATACAGGGTCTGGCATGAGTAACACCTGCTTGAGTGTGGATGGTAGGGTAATAATATGGGTATAATAATTTATAGTTTTAATTTGAACACTTCATCTTAAGTGTCATATGGTGTGTTTGGGTGTGATATTGTTGTTTCAGAATTACATGGTTATGATTTTGTAATAAAAGATTTTGTAATAAAAAAGAGACGTTATTTGTGCCAGACTCTGTATAACTCTTCAATGCCTCTCTTTACCTTCACCCTCTTTTGGTTATTTGTTTCAAAGAGTTTTATAATGTAATTAGCTTAATTATCCATTTTCATAAAGGATTTTATTAGCAAAATTTGTGAGATCAGAAATGCAGCAAGGAAAATTTAAATAGGCAAATACTACATGAAGTAGAATATAAAATTTAGCTATTTCCCTCTATCTTATTTAACTTCTGGAAAAAGAAGTAATTTTCATGTGCATCATGAAAAACAAAAGGTGGTAAATAAAATATGACTCTGATCATAAAAGTGAAGGTTTTTAGGAAAAAGGTCCACTCAGGACACAGATCAAGCTAAAGATCAAAACTGCAAGGTTAATTGAAATGACAGGCAATCATCTCCATAACTAGAGACTGATTATATGGTTTTAACGCGACTACACAGCATATTCTTTCCTCCCTTAAACTTTTTTTAAAGAAAATTTTATTTATTTTTAGAGAATGAGGAAGAAAGGGAGAAAGACAGGGAGAGAAACATCAATATGTGGTTGCTCCACACACCCCCCCTCCCCACTGGGGACCTGGCCCACAACCCAGGCATGTGCCCTGACTGGGAATCAAAGCAATGACACTTCGCTTTGTTGTCTAGTGCTCAATCCACTGAGCCATACCAGCCAGGGCTTACACCTTTAAATTTTAAAACCTGTTTTATACTCAATTGGAAAATAAAGTCTAAAATAAATTTATGTCTCTTCTTACCTCTACACAGTCAAAGTTCTCATCAACTTTCGATGCATATTCAACACGGAACATTGTTGACAGGCTACCAGCAATATAGTATAATAGTATCTTCAGACCCTTGTAACCAAAAGCAGTTTCACTGAAAGGGGGAAAAACAGCAGTAATCTAAGACCCCAAAATGAATCTTTACAAAGTCATTTAAAATATAAACCCTATATATCAACTTAGCTCTGTGGGTAGTTTCAGGATTTTAAACTATACTTTTTTTTTTGAATAAGAAATATTTGTAATGAAACTGTGACTCAGCTTTCCTCATTTATAAAATAAGAGAGACTAATTGCTCCAACCTTGGGGATATTGTGTGGGTTAAATAAGCAAGTTAATACATGTAACCTACTTATAACATTGGCACATTGTACAAGTACTCAGTAAATGTTTACTATAAATACTACTATGCTGCTGCTGCTATTACTACTAGTACTAGAAGGCATTTAAAGTCAGAGACAAGTAGTGTTAAACTGGTGCCTGGCTAGGCAAGCAGCTAAGATGTAGCTTTGGCCCAGTCCTTCCAACTTACCACTTGCTTATATCACCAACACCCAGAGCTGCTTAAAGTGGTGATAACACCTGTCTAATTATACTCCTCTATGAACTCAGAAAGCAGACCTGGAGCTGCTGCTATTTTTCCAGACCTGCTCCCTGTTATCCATTATGTCTTGCTATTATTCCCTTTGTCAGCTTAAAAAATCTTTTTAAAAGTGGATTCTAAACTATCCAGAATAGGTAAATACAGAGACAGAAAGTAGATTAGTGACTGCCTAGAACTTGGAGGGGTAGGGGGAAGGGGGACAACTGCAAATTGATTAGGGATATTTTGGTGGGAATGATGAAAATGTTCTAAAATGATGGTAATGGTAGAATTATGAATATACTAAAAACCACTGAATTGTATACTTTAAAGTAGGTCAAGTATATGATAAATGATCTCAATAAATTTTTTTTGGTGAATTCTGAAGGAAGAGTGTCTGAATGAAGTGTCACTTCCAGATTTCTGTCTAGGCTAACAAAATAAAAGTGTGAACAATGTCCATTCCAGGACCCTGAACGTTAGGAGCAGTAGAAAGGAGTGGCAACGATACTAAGATCAAGAATAATGTCCTGACTGGGTCACAAAATACAGGGTTACCACTGTTATGTGACTGTTATCTGTCTACCTTACAAGAGGGGTATGCCAGCACACCACTTTTAATGGCATGCAAACCAGACAAACGAAGGTGCAAAATCCCATTAAAGGCTCTATCTACAAAATCAGATCCTATCTACTAAGATATTACCACAGAAAGAGATTTTAAATAAATAGCAGTAAGAGGAAGAAAATAAAGTAAATAGAAACCTAAAGAGAAAACATTCTTATAATAAAACTTGCTTAAAATATGAAAGGCTCAATTCTGGCAAGAATCAATATAATAAAACATAATTCTTAACATTAAATATTTAATATGCTATATTTATAATGAAAATTTCTCAGAAAATTTGCTCCATAAAAGACATTTTTCAATTTAAAAACATATTAAATATACCAAAGGTATTGAAATAATGCATAGGAAAAATAGCCATAAAGGGAAATAATTTAAATGTCAACTACATCTAAACACTCTTCCCTACTACAACAATTCAGGGTTCCTTGGGAAAACAACTGACTCCAGAATTAGTGGAAAATGTACAAGATGAATCTGAAACATCTTACTATATCAGAAAGTAGTGGGTCCCCAAAATGATGATGTATCAAAAGGACTCAAAAGCTGGTTTGACAGAGTAGCCTCTTGTTTAATCTGGGATCATCAAAACTAGTAACACTAACAGATTATAACCCATTGAATTAAAAAAACAAAAGAATCCTTTAGTCTATTCTGTTATAAAAGAAATACCTAAGGGGAAGAAGATAAGCTCTTTCCTATAGAGGAATGCCAACTAATGAATGTAGTAGGTATGACAGAGTTAGAAAACCACCATTTTATATTCATAGTAAAATACTGAAGACAAAAGTCAGTAGTGGATTTAATATTACTGGGTACAAGTTTGATGGGAAATAGGATACTTTCAGTCTATTTCCCCACAGATTACATATAAATAACATAGGGGAAAACATAATCCTTACAGTGGAGAAACCTGACAGATACCTCTAAAGTAAGTGACCCAAATCAATTTCACCAGTGATGGGACAAACTGGTATCATGGACTTTCTGATATGACACAGAAGAGGACAGATACAACTTCTGTCACAGTGCTACAAAAATATGCATTACATGAATTCAATCATGAAGAAACAGACTAATAAAGGTGTACAAAACTAGCCTATACTCTACAAAAATGCCAATGTCATGAAAAGCAAACAAAGCTTGAGGAACTGTTTCAGATTAAAGACTAAAGATATATGACAATTAAATGCAACATATGATTCTACACTGGGTCCAGAACAGAGAAAAATATTATAAAAGAATTGTTGAAAATTAATTAGCGAATTTGAAATGTGGACTGCATGTAAGAAAATAGTATTTTATCAATGCCAAATTTCCGGAGTCTTGATAATTCTACTGCAGTTAGTGTCCTTATTTTGGGGAAATACATACTAAAGAATTCAGGAGTAAGAGGTCAAGATATTGTCTGTAACCTACTCTCAGACGGCTCAACATTATTCATACACAACGTGGGGCAAAAGTAGGTGTACAGTTGTTCATATGAAAAACAGTAATTTATAAGAAGAGAGAATGATTAAAGCAAATATAGCTAAATACTAACAACTGGGGAGTCTAGATAAAGCCTATACCGAGTACTATTCTTGCAACGTTCTTCAATCTTGAATTTTTTTTCAAAATCAAGTTGTTTGTTTTTTTTAAAAGATAATTGACTATTCTAATAATGTAATGAAGGCACAGAAAATTATTGTGCTGAGTATCCCAGGAAATATCTTTAGAGTTTCTTTTAAAAATAAATTTCTCTTAACGGCTTATTTACTTCTCATAGAATAGCAACTTAAGCTTTCTTGCTCTGGTGGAAGGTGTTATATTCTGCACTAGAAGCAATGTAGCAAAGTAGTGGTTAGGAAAAAAAAGCAGTAGTTGTGAATATGGGCTCTGCAGTCAGACTGCCCGAGTCTGAACTTCAGCCATCACATGTCCTTAGGCAACTATCCAGTTTGACCAACTTAGAGTGTAACAAATGATAACACCATCACTAAGATCACTGTAAGAATTAAATGAGGTAATGTATCTATAGCACTAAATAGTAGACAGTAAATTCGTGTCTCATTTTCACATATGCCCTTTTAATATATATTTTAAAATAAATTACATGAAAAAAATAATAGGAAAGAAAAAGTCTGATTTCAAAGTCTTAAAAGGAATGGATTTTTTTTTGTGGCCATACTGATTTGGCAAACATCTTACTAAGTTACTTACTCATCCCCAAAGAGCTGATGGGTATATTCAGGAAAGAAAGTTCTAATGTCATTCTCTAGATCTTCGGGAAAACGAACTGTTTAAAAGATAAAAATATACAAAGATTAATGATACTAAAGGTGACAGATTATTTCTATTTCAAGAATTTCACTACACTAGGATACAGTCAACATTTTCCTTAAATTGTCGCTTTTCTATTATATGACTTACACTGGATTCTCAAGAGACAAATGATGAAAATTAGAAGATCATTTTGAGTAGCATCAAAAAGCTACTAAATTAGAAGCATCTGATTTCGTTTTTATTTTTCTGTGTGTTTATACACAATGTAAAAATAAAAGAAAACAAAACCAAGACACTTTGAGATAAAAGCTATAGCATCAAGAAAAAAACAGAATTTATAGGAAACACTGAGAACAAGAATAACCTGAGTTCGATGAAACCTGTGTCATCATATATTCCATGACTACAAGATAATATTTATGTTGTTTCTAGGTTTTGTTTTTGTTTTTGTTGTTTGCTATTAAAAATAACGCTGAAATGACATCCTTATATATACCTTGCTATACTTTTACAAGTACACACAAGGCAAATTCCTGGCAGTATAAATGCTTAGTAAAAGTACTGAAATACTTTCATAAATACTTCCTCAGTGCCCTCGAAAAATACTGTACCAGTTCATATACTGGTACAGTATACGTACCCACCAACAGCTACTTAAATTCCTTCGTATCCCACATCCTTGGCAATACTCCATACCCTCAACTTTAATTTCTACCAATCAAAAATGGAAATGGGTATCCTGTTGTTATTTTTACTTGCATGTATTGCAAGTACTGATATTACTGAACATTTTCCCAATATAATTTATCTAATGAAGAAAATTTTTACCAAAAAAATCCTTAAGAAATTGAAGAATAAAAAAAGATAAGTTATAGATGAAAAATTTCTAATACTGTCCTCACAGAGCAAGTCACTCACAAGGTACCAAAGTATCTAGCAGGTTACTAATTTATACAGAAGATCGGTAGAGGTCTGGCACTCACCCACTTTCTAAATGACCTTAGAATTACTCATTATGAGCCTCCTGATTTAATGCAATATAATGTATACAGCATCACTCATAAAGTTTTCTTACTAAAAATATCTAATCCAGCTTTACTGTCTTTCACTTTACAAGAAATATAAAGGGTAGGGGAACAAGTTACATACTACCAAAAGGAAATAGAAATAAATGGAATGTACATACTGAAGAATGAAGAAGATACAAATAAATGGAAGCATATCCCATGCTTGTGAATAGGAAGAATTACAATCATAAAAATGTCCATACTACCCAAAGCAATCTATAGATTCACTGCAATTCCTGTCCAGACATCAATGGCATATTTACAGAACTAGAACAAATATTCCAAAAATGTATATGGAGCCACAAAAGACCCTGTATAGTCTCAGCACTCTTGAGAAAAAAGAACAAAGTCAAAGATAATATGCTTTATGACACCAAACTATAGTACAAAGTTACAGTAATAAAAATGGCATGGTACTGGCATAAAAACAGACACTTAGATCAATGAAACAGAATAGAGAGCCCAGAAATAAACCCATGCCTATATGGTCGTTTAATGTACAACAAAGGAGACAAGAACATACAGTGGGGTAAAGAGAGTCTATTCAATAAATGGTATAGGAAAAACTGGATAGATACTCGCAAAAAAAAAAAAAAATCAAACCAGATCACCTTCTTACACTATTTACTAAACTCAAAATGGATTAAAGACTTAAATGTAAGACTCAAAACCATAAAACTCCTAGAAGAAAACACAGGCAGTAAAATCTCTGACATTTCTCTTAGCAATATCTTTCAGATGTATTTCCTCAGGCAAGAAAAACAAAAGAAAAAAAAAACAAATGGAATATCAAACTAAAAAGGTTTTGTATAGCAAAAGAAACCATCAATAAAACAAAAAGACAACATATTGAATGGAAGAAGATATTTGCCAATGATATATCCAATAAAGGATTAATGTCCAAAATTTATAAAGAATTCATATAACACCAAAAAAAATTTTTTTAAAGTGGGCAAAAGACTTGAATAGATACTCATCCAAAGAGGACATACAGATGGGCAATAAACATATGAAAACATGCTCAAGGTCATTTATCATCAAAAAATGCAAATTAAACCAGGAGACATCACCCCATACCTATCAGAATGGCTATCACCAATAAATCAACAAAAACCAAGTGTTGTCAAGGATGTAAAGCAAAGAGAACCCTTGTGTATTAATTATTGGTGGGAATGCAGACTGATGCAGCCACTATGGAAAATAGTAAGGAGGTTCCCCACAAAATTAAAAATGAAATGGCCTTATGACTCAGCGATTCCACTTCTAGGTATATGTATAATCTCAAGAAACCCAAAACACTAATTAGAAAGAGTAGAGCATGCCTATATTCACTGCAGCATTATTTACAATAACCAAGATATGGAAGCAACCCAAGTGCCCATCAACAGGTGAGCAGATAAAAAAGTGGTGGTTTGTATGCAATGGAATATTACTTGGCCATAAAAAGAATGAAATCTTACCATTTGAGACAACATAGTTGAACCTAGAGGGTATTATGCTAAGTGAAATAAGTCATACATGCAAATATCATATGATTAAAGAGCAAAATAAACAAACAAAATAGAAACAAAGAACAGACTGATGCCATAAGAGGGGAGGGGGATGTGGAAGGGGGTACAAAAGGTAAAGGGATTGAGAATTACAAATTGGTAGTCACAAAATTGTCCTGGGGATATGTATTACAGCATAGGGAATTTAGTCAATAATATTGTAATAACTATGTACAGTGCCAGGTGAAGACTTGAACTATGAAGGGGACCACTTTGTAAAGTGGTATGGCTGTCTAACTACTGTGCTGTAAAGCTGCAACTAATACAAAATAATAATGAATGTAAACTGTAATTAAAAAATAAAATTCGGAAAAAAATCCAAAATGTAGATTTGTTGAAATAATTCTACACACTGACTTTGCTCTTACAAATAAATTAATGGCATGAGAGAAAAGTTTCAAGTGAGGGGAGGGACTGTTCTGGATTAAAAGAGATTAAGGCAATATTATAAGTTATTGCTGCTGACTGTAAAGGATTAGAATGACTAAATAACCCAGTCAATTTTAGCTGTGTCATATATATGTAGGACTTGAGTCAAGTAAAGTGGATTTTTTTTTTAAAGATTTTATTTATTTATCTTTAGAGGGGAAAGGAAGGAGAGAGAGGGAGAGAACTATCAATGTATGGTTGCCTCTAGTGTGTCCCCTGCTGGGAACTGGCCTGCAACCCAGGCATATGCCCTGACTGGGAATCGAACCGTGGTTGCTTGGTTCCCAGGCCCTAGCTCAATCCACTGAGCTATACCAGCCAGGGCAAGTAAAGTGGATCTTGATGTAGGAAAAAAAATCTATATTAAAAATGATTTTCTGTAGTTTTCTCATACACTATTAATACAGACAGAAGAGCCCTGGCCAGGTGGCTCAGTTGGTTGGGGAGTTGTCCAATAGACCAAAGGAAAAAAAAAGGTTTTGGGTTCAATTCCTTCCTGGTCAGGGCACATACCTAGGTTGAGGGTTCAACCCCCAGCCAGGATGTATACAGGAGGCAACCAACAGATGTCTGTCTGTCTGTCTGTCTCTCTCATCAAAAAACATCCTCCAGTGAGGATTGAGGGGGGGAAAAACAAGCCATCTTTCACCCATCAGAAGGGCAGGGTATTTTCACTTTGTTTTTTAAATAATAACATACAAAAATGACCAGAGTACAGGTAAAAAGACACTCTCAAAAAATTCTGGTGTAACTATAGCTACTTTTTTTGGAAGACAGTTTGACAATAACTACTAAATATGCTCTTATTCCACTCTGGCATAGTGGTTCTCCAACAAAGGCCACTTCACTCATCATCCTCGGGATTTTTGGCAATGTCAAAAGACACTTTTGGTGTTGTAACTGGAGAAAAATGTTACTGTGAGATCAGGGATGCTGCTAAACATCCTTCAAGTCACAGAATAACGAAGAGCTGTCTAATTCAAAATGTTGGTGGTGCTGAAGCTGAGAACCTCTGATCTAACATTTCAATGTCTAGCCATACATTCCATTGAACATTCACACAAGTGGGTAAAGATAAACACAAGGATAATTATTGGAGAATTATTTTTAGTAGTGATAGGAGAAGCAATCCCTCAATAGGGAATACTTAAATAAGTTATGGTATAGTCATAGTGTACTACATAATTTAAAAGAACAAAGTAGATCTATGTGGAGTAATAGAGAATAATATTCAAGACATTGTTAAGCTAAATAATATAACAGCCTTACCAGAAGATCCTAGTTTGTCATGTTTGTATTGTTTAAATAATAGCACCTTACATTTATTGAGAATTCTTAAAAAGATTTACTTCTTTATTTTTAGAGAGGAAAAGAAAAAGAAAGAAACATCAATGTGTGGTTGCCTCTTGCACACCCCCTACTGGGGACCTGGCCCACAACCCAGGCATGTGCCCTGACTGGAAATTGAACCAGTGACCCTTTGATTTGCAGGCTGGCACTCAATCCCCTGAGCCAAACCAGCCAGGGTGAGAACTTCTAAAACTCTAGTTATTCAAGCACTTTATTTGTATTTAATCCTTCATTTAATGTTTACAAGCACTATAAAATAATATTAACTCCATTTTAAACATGAGGAGACTGAGGCATGAAAAGTGACAGAACCAGGATTCATGAGCATATAATTGAACAGCTTTACTGAAGTATAATTTATATCCCATAAACTCACTTGTTTTAAGTGTATAAGTCAATGATTTTTAGTACATTTAAAATTGTGTAACCACTGTCACAATGTAATTTTAAAATATTGTCATGATTCCCAAAAGAAATCTCATGATCATTTTCAGTTATCTCCATTCCCATCCTAGTTCCAGGCAACCACTAATCTACTTTCTGTCTATGGACTGGGCTTTTCCAAACAATTTATACAAATGGATTCATATAGTATATGGGTTTTTTGGGGGAGGGCGGCGGGGGGGGGCATGTCTGGTTTCTTTCACTTAGGATGTTTCTGAGGTGCATCCATGTTCTAGCATTATCAGACCTTCCTTCCTTTTTATTATCGAATAATATTCCACCATACAGCTATATATACACACCACATTTTGTCTTTTTACTAATTGATAGATATCTGGGTTGCTTCCATTTTGGGGCTATTGTGAATACACTACAATGACATTAATGTATGAGTCTTTATATGGACAAATGTTTTCATTTCTCTTGGGTAGATACCTAGGAGTAGAATTTCTGGGTCATGCAATAAATTCATGTTTCTAACTTTTTAAGAACCTGCCAAATGGTTTTCCAAAGTAGCTGCATTATTTTACATTCCCATCAGCATTATGAGTTTTTTCCCATATCCTCACCAACACTTATTGTCTATTACTGTTATAAGAAAAAAAGCAAAGGTCAGTATTTTAAAGCTGAAACCACTTATTCTTGTCACTTTTTGCCATATTGTACTTTCTATATGTAAACCGTGCCACCTCTCAAACATCTATCCACTTTATGACATAAATAAAGACTGAATAAAATCTGAATATGTTTAATAAATGCAGATAACTATATTTACATAAACAACTGCTCTGATAGGAAATTCTTCAAATTTTAAATTATATATATACACTCAGTACACACATAATACCACTTAGGAATGGCATACATACCTAATTTCAGTTCAATTGCTGTGTTGGTGTTACATTTGTACTCTGCCAATTTCTTCTCCACTGCACTTTTGTACTCAACCAAAAATTTCTCCATAGCACCAAATCCTAAGAGAAAAGGTTTTTAAAGTGTCTGGTTGAAAGTGGTTAGAATAGTAAAACCTAAAAATAGTGTTGTTATTAGAAGTGGGATAAAGGTTAAGAATTAAAACATTTTAATAGATCATAAAAGTACAGGTCATTCTCCATATGCTCCTAAATATATATCCAAAGTATGAATGTCTCATTATAAAACAGACAAAACATTTCTGACTTGAAGGCTTATAAACTAGGCCTGCACTATATAAATGAATAAACCTGAAAATTAACATGATAGATTACTGACATTTCTGAATATTTAATACTAATATAAATTACCTGCTAAGATTTATACCTATGTAGCCTTTTTAAAAGATATAAAAAGGATGCCGCTGCTCCACTCAGAAGTGAGAATGTCCTTTGATAATTACAATAGCATTTCATTTCTAATATTGAAAAAATTCAACCCAGAATACTTCCAGATTGACTATTAAAAGCCATCACCTAATAATGCATAGATAATCTCAAAAAAATACACAAAAAACTAGTAAACATGGTTACCACTAGAATAAGAAGGAATGGGAACAGGGTGAGAAAATTTTCAATTCATTAAAAAAAATTTTTTACCAACTGTGCATAAAGTAATAAACTATTCCAGGCTACTGGAATAACCAATGGTTTTACAATGTGGCTAGCCATCAATATACATAACAAATAACTAACCACGGAAGAAATCATTATCAAGACCTTTCAAGCAATGACATTACATCTCCTGACAAGATAAACATTAAAATTAGCACGAATTCAGGAAAAATTCATTAGCAGAAACAAAAGGAGTACAATGACATGCCATAAACTTCAGTGACTGGTTAAAACACACACACACAGAAAACAGGGAACATGAAGCAAAACAGATTAATGATCTGGAGTCAGAGTTCTGGCACTCAAATCCAGTCTTCACCATTTATTTGCTACATCTGTGAATTACAGCACTTTACCTGACTTCTCTGACCAAATCCATAAAACTGAGATAACATAACCCACCCTCGAGGAATTTATGTATAAAATTTAACGTGTGAAGTCATACATTAGCTTAATCCCCAGAATTCTGTAACACAAGTATACACTGTATCAGTCACACTTCATATTCAAAAACTCGGGTTCAGAAAGAGGTTTATTTGTGGAAGGACACCCAACTACTAAGTGGTGGAGCTGAGATTCCGATTAGGTGTAATTCTTATAACATATACACCCTATGCAATACTCTTATTCCCGCTCTTTTATAGTACCAAATGCACATCGAGATCCTACAGCTCTTCCTTAAACATCTGTAGAGCTCAGCTTATATAGCCTCTCTCTCCAGCATACCAAAAAAGTGTAGTGAGACTACTATGAAGGCACTGGGGAAAGAGATGATAAATAGATACTGCTCATTACGTCAAAAGATATGTAACTGAGGAAAAAGTATATACTGGTAGTCACTTCAAAACAGTCTTAACATATGTACAAAATAATAGCCATCGAGTGTTGTAAACGAGACTCAATAAGAGAACATAAAAGACTGACCAAATGGGAATTACATTGTAGTAGACACACTCTAAAAAGAGTTTAGGTGATGAAAAATGTGAGAATCTCTTTTTCAAGGGCAATCTAAACAGATCTCAGAAATACTTAAGTTATGAGAGACTACGGAGACTGCGTAGCCAGTCAAGATTCAAACGTGAATCCGAGTTCAGGGCAAAGCAGCAATGCGCTAGCTCTACGCTGACGGTGGTGGAAGGCGGAGGGAGATCTGGAAGAGGAGGAGGATCTGAGTGAGTATTGAAATCAGCTGGCGGGAACAGAACCAGACTAGTGTAGCTAGCTAAGGCAGCAGTGGGCAAAAATGAACGAGAAGAGAAACAGGCCTCAAAGCATCTGGCACTTTAAAAGCCCAAATCGTGACGCTTTTTCACGGCCTCCTGGTCCCTCCGCAGGGGCCAAGTTCTTCGCACAAGGTGAAGAACCCTGAGCACTTAGGGGCGGGGGCACGAACCTCTGCCGACGAGTGGCTGCGCTTCGAGTTCCGCGCTTTCAGGCTGAAGCAGGCCTTCTGGAATCCAGGCTAGAGCCCGAAAGTTCCAGGCGGGAACTGTCACCACGGTCTCGGCGTTCTTTCCCAAACCTACCAGCCCCCTCCCCTCCATAAACTTTTCCCGGGAACTTACCCGCCATTTCCGAGCTGCTAGCACTCTCGGCCGGCCAAGGAAGGACGAATCAACCCGCGCGCTCCCTGGCCGGAAATGACCGCACTGCATGACGCATTTCCCCGTCCACCAATGAGAGGAAGAGGTTCTAGGTGCGGGGTGGCGGAAGTAGCTCAATAGGCGGGGCTAACACTGCTGGGGAAAGCCCGGGCCGTTGCCTAGTCACGGCTAGTGCCGTCAGCCGTTTTCGACGCAAGAATGGATGAGGCTGCAAAAAGGATGTTCTATGTTAACCCTGGGAGAGTTTTCTTTGGAGTTCATTTGAATAATGTAGATGCCTCCGGGGTTATGGCTGTTTTCTGTTTCCCCAATGGTTATGTTTTGGAGACTGTTAGACAAGCTTTCCCTTTAGCCTAGACGATAGATCTAAACACCTGAACCCTAGTTTAAAATGTAGGAACTGAGTTGTCTTTGAGGGAGAAATTTTCAATTATTTTATTTGTTCCTATTTTTGCGGTCAATGCTTGCTTAACATTTTTTTTTAATCCCATACTTTTTAACAGTAATTCAGTGCCATATCAAGTACTCTGTTTTCACTCTTAAGGTTACTAGGCAACCATTTAGTGCACTGAAATTGTTGCTTAATACCTTAAGTGGCCCGATCTGGTCCTCCAGGTTTTGAGTCCTATAGGCTTGAACCATATCACAGCATGCTACCTACCTGTTCTGCATCATTGGGCTTGTTAGTATTTACTAACTATTGAAATTGTCCCCGCGGAAAAGCCTTTTTTTTTTTTCTCGTATCCACAAGTATTCCCACAGTGTTGTCTATATACTAGTGGGCCTTGTGTCAACAAATGTTGGTTATTGGGTTTTATAATGATGATGCTAGAGCTAAAATGGACCCTTGGGTTGATAGCCTTAGAACTAATGAATTAGAAATGAGGAAACTAAAGCCCAGAAAAGAGAAATTGCCCAAGTCCGCTCAGTATACAGACTATGAAAGAGTCCAGTTCTCTCCATATGCCAATTTTTATTTCACTGCATGGAGATGGCCCTCCTGAGGACACAGATCACAAAAGGTACTGAGAATGCTTAGGTTCTTTTAAACCTTAATGAAACACCAGAAATTATTATTATAATGTGCTAAAAAGAAAATTGAAGTCAGGGCTATAATCAATAACATTATAAATCAAAAAAGGATATCTTTTTTTTATAATCTCTTCAAAATATCAAGACTCACCATTTCTTTTTAAAACTACCTTATCTGTAGATCAAATTGCTGATCAGCAGTTATGGTCCTTATTGATAAGAAATCAAGTGAATTTTTCTTAAGTGCAGCAAATCTGAAACAGATTAGTCCTGTGATTTTATGGCTAATTGTAGTAAGGAAATATGATGAAACCTATACATGATAAATATGAATAAGAAATGAGATAAATTTGAGTAAGAAATATGATGAGACATGTATCATGTGGCTAGCATTTAGTATGATCAGCTTGCAAAATTGAGATTACAGTTTTAAAATTGTCCTTTTCTTAAGAGCTGTTCATACACATTTATTAAAATGTCACAAAATACATGTTTAGGTCCGATTTGCCTAAAAGAGAAAAGAATTACAAAAAAAAGAAAATGTATTTCCTTTTTTAGTACGATTTTTTCTTTCTTAAAATTTATATTTTACCTTATTCTAAGGGGGATTTAGGAAGTGAATATTATTAGCACCACGGAATAAAATATCTATGCAAATGAATATGCTGTCTTTGTATGTATGAAAGAGGCAGCATAGTGGTGTGGAAAGTCCAAGCCCTACTAGTCTAAGTTCTACTTCATGTTGTGACCTTGTTTCATCTATTAAGTGGAGATAATAATACCCCCCAGTCACCACACTGGTTGTTGTGAAAATCAAATGGAACAACACTTATTAAAGAGGTTTGTAAATTCTAAATTTCTAGGTTAATATGAGGTGGTATTAGTATGAATATATTTATTCTATACTAAGAGATCTGGAAAAGGAATTTTTCTTCAGAGAAAAAGGCCACATTACATTCTTGGGAATGAACTGGAAACCATGTATTTTCCTCAGGTTCAAGAGCATACAGACTATGCTCTTGAACCCATCATGTCTTGAAACCTCCAGAAGGGATATTTTTTTCAAGATAATGGCAGTAAACATATAGTCATCAGAAAGTAGAGGAAGGGAATCTGAGTTCTAAAAGATAAATGTAGGTACTTGATGTGTTTTTATTTCAAAATATATACAAATAACAATAACTAGTTAACTCATTTGTTTAGCTTATAATGTTAATGTTACAGGGATGGGGTATTAGTTTCAGTCCCCAGAACAGTTTTTCAGGATCTTCTACCCAGCTAGATGACTTTCATATGCAATAAAAGAAAGAAAAAAATAGACCAGTTAACATTGAAAACTACTGTTAAAGAAATAACTTAAAAACACATCACCACCAGATTGCACATTCCGTTTTTTAAACTCTCATTTACTACCTGTAGGTGTATAAACTAGTAGTTTTGAGAAGCAATTTAGCAATTTTAACAACTTTAGCCCTGGCTGGTGTAGCTGAGTGGATTGAGCGTGGGCCTGAGAACCAAAGGATCACAGTTTGATTCCCAGTCAGGGCACATGCCTGGGTTGCAAGCCAGTTCCCAGCAGGGGACATATGAGAGGCAACCATACATTGACGTTCCTCTCCCTCTCGCCTTCCCTTCCTCTCTAAAGACAAATATATGAAATCTTTTAAAAATTCACAAAAAAAACACAACTTTAACAAAATTTTTCAATTAGTGTATCTTTTGAGGTAACAGTTCCACTTATAAGCATTTGTTCTACAAAACTGCACAAGAATGCAAAGATATAACAAAGATGTTCAATACAGCATTCATTTTACTGGCAAATTGGAAATATGTAACCTAAATGTGCATCAAAAGTGGCTGGGTTTTTTTTTAACTTAATTATATGAGAGGAAACTTACAGTTTGACAATATTCTGTATTCCTCTGTGAAACATCCTGTGTTTGTTGACTATACCTTATAATGCTGAACCATCCACCCCACCATCTGGGAACAAAGGGCCCAAATTAAAATTTGAGTAGTGTCTAAATAAGAACCAACTATAAAAAGTTACCTATTTCTTTTTTAAAAATCTGTTTTATAATTACAGATTTTTTGACAAATTCCTTGTATCAGGAAGAAATACAAATTTTATCGTTTCTCCAGCAGTTTTTTTTTTCCTCATCTCAGGCTAGGAACAAATTATGAGTAAACCCAATACTTGAATATGTTTTAATTCACTCTCATTTTCAATCAATTGGCATAGCAAATGTGTCATTACTAAGCTGGCAGCGGATGCCAAGTTACATTTAATCAGTAATTCAGTCCTCACATAGTGTGTTGTGATGTTTCAATATGAGAGGAGGAAAATGGCTTGGACCTATGCACCATATGTGATTTCAAAATGAACACCTTGAATAGCAGTAATTTTTATTTGTAATATTTTTTCATAATAAAATGAGAAGTACTAGGAAAAGAGGTTTTATTTTGTAAACAACCACTTATGACTTCACACATTCTCTATTAATATTCTAGTGAGCTCACAGCACATATTTCCATGAGCATGCATGAGGGATGATGTATGTTGAGATTTCAATGGGCATTTAGCTGCATCCTCACCTGCTCGGTTTGACTTAGTTATTTAATACAGTGTGCCAATTTTGTGAATGTGGTCATGTAGAAGTCCTCTTGAAATGAAAAACTATGTCTGACACCCGAATTAAATAATTTTATGTATATAATAAAAAAGCTAATACGAAATAAAGCTCATATAAAATTATAAACTTTTACATGTGAACGGGTTTCTCCAAGAATGTATAAAGTCAATAAAATTCTCTGACTTTTTACCCAACATGGAAAAGGGCTGCCTACTATGTACTGACTTGGGAAAATACCTAATATATAATTGATTACAAAATAAATTATACATTATAAGTTATTCTCTTTGTCTTTAAAAAGTGTATTTTGACATAAACATAGAAAACATTTGAAAGCATATCAAACAAGTTTAACTGTGGCATCTCTGGGAAAGGAAATTTTGAGATGGGAATTAAGGAGGGATTTAAAAAAATACTATATGCTTCTTTTAATAAGGATGTATTGTTTTTTTAATCGTTAGAAACTTACCAATCTTTTTGGAAGTTTTAGACATTTTCTGCTAACTACTTACCTTCTTCTCTACATTCTATAAATTATAAAACACAGAATCAAAAGGAAACAGCTTAACTGGAAAAAGGAATAGTTAGTAGAAAATTAATATTTCTACTTTCATATTATGTCATTATTTAGAAGCTAAGATTGGTCAAATAAGGAAAAAGCACCATAATTTCTTATACTTCTTTACAAAAGAACCATCCAGTGATGCCTGCTTTACTTTTTTTCTGATTTACTTTTTGAAATTATAATTCATAAGAATGGCATTAATTATGTATGAGTACTTAAGATGGGTAATACGATAATGGCTATTATATTTCAGGTTCCATAGTTAAACTGCTATTTCAAATATTAATTCTTTTTTCAGTTTAGCCAACAAAAAAAATGACCATTACTCCTTTTTTGCTGTTGTTTTATGTTGTTTCATAATGTGGAAGAGGTTCTAGGTAGGAGAAGGGCAAAGAAAACTTTATTAAAGTTATTTAGATATTAAAAAAATAAAACTAAAAAGTGCTAAAAATTATGACTAGAAATATTCATTTTAAGCTGATACATTGTTTCAGTCATTTTGCCTTTTTAAGTTTTGATTGTAGTGAAAGGCACATCCCATAATATTGATCATTTTTATGATTTTAAGTATACAATTTAGTAGTGTGAAGTGTATTCACATAATTCTGAAAGCTGTCATTTTAATGGTTTGGTTTTCATTCAATTCCCTATGATCCGAACACACAAAGTGAGCTTTTCTATTATAGACAGCTATACTTTCTGCTACTGACAGCTATAGAATGCTG